GCTGGGCCCTGTGCAAGGTGTTGGAAATTTACTGATGGACAAAACTCAAGGCACTGTCCTCAAGGAATGAACAAACTGGTTGGAGAAAAATAGGTAAGTTGACAGAACAGTTTAGACAAATGTTATAACTGGACTAAAAAATAAGATGTCATGGGAAATAAATCCAATTCTAAGAACTCAGCAATCTGAAAAAACTCCCAGAGGGCTGGGGATGTGACTCAGTGGTAGAGTGCTCACCTAGCATGTGCCAGGCCCTGGGTACGATCCTCATCACCATATAAAAATAAATAAATAAAATAAAGATATTGTATCCAACTACAACTAAAAATAAATAAATAAATAAATAAATAAATAAATAAATAAATAAATAAATCTTTTTTATTCAAATATTTGAACAGAGAAAGAAATAAAAGACTTGTGAGGGGGTTTGGACTGGGGGTAGGCAAGGGATAGAAGGATGGCAACAGAAGAAAAAGACTTTAAGTGTTTTCAAGTTGGCAGATCAGAGGAGGTATCTTTCCTGGCTACTCTGTGGCATGAAATCAAGAAAGCAAACAGGCAGCTTCTCAGCAAGGTGGATTAATAACAAAAAAGGGGGAGGACTTTACTGGAATTTAAAACTGGACATTCAAAGCAGATCAGGGATTCAGGAGGTTGGATATAATAAAATAAGGAAGAAATCCCCAGTGTCAGAGCCATCCCTCTGCGAGCAAAGTGGAGGGATAGGGAATTGAAGGAACCCATACTTTTTGGAGGCCTGAGGTGTATCTAGGTATGGAGCATTTAGGGATCAAGGACACTGCCTGACTAAACTGAAAGGCATGCTGCATAGAGAATCATGATGACATCAACAAATATCTAGAGACATATAACCTACCCAAACTGAAACAGGAAAACAGAAAATTTAAACAGATCAGTTACAATCAATGAAATTCAAGATGCCATCAAAAGCCTACCAACAAAGAAAAGTCTAGGACCACATGGATCCTCAGCCAAGTTCTACAAGACCTTCAAAGAAGAACATACCAATACTCCTCAAATTATTCTATGAATAATTCCACTCCTTGGAATATCCCCAAAGGACTTAAAAGTAGCATACCATAGTGACATTGCCACATCAGTATTCATAGCAGCTCAATTCTCAAGAGCTTAGCTATGGAACCAACCTAGATGCCCTTCAACAGATGAATGGATAAAGAAAATGTGGTATTGGGCTGAGGTCATGGCTCAGAGATAGAGCACTTGCCTAGCATATGTGAGGCACTGGGTTCTATCCTTAACACCACATAAAAATAAACTAAAACTAAGGTATTGTGTCCACCTACAACTAAAAAATAAGTGTTAAAAGAAAAAGAAAAAGAAAATGTGGTAACATATAATGGAATATTACTCAGCCATAAAGGAGAATGGAATTGTGGCATTTGCCAGTAAATGGATAGAACTGGAGGTTATAATGCTAAGTGAAACAAGCCAATCCCCCCAAAACAAAGTCTGAATGTTCTCTCTGATATGTGGATGCTGACTCACAATAGGTCAAGGTGTAGGGTGGGGAGGGGATTGGAAGTTCACCAGATTAGACAGGGGGAAATGGAGGAAAGAGTGGGGGGTGGGAATGGGAAAGACAGTAGAATGATTCAAATATAACTTTCCGGTCTTTGTATGTGAATACACGACCAGTAACTCCACTACATGTACAACCATGAGAATGGGAAGTTATACTTCATGTACATCTGATATCAAAATACATTCTATTGTCATGTATAACTAAAAGGAAAAAATAAAAATAACATTTTTTAAAAAAAAACAATCAAAAACCTTTGAGAATAAAATAATCTGAGTTATAACCTTGGTTGTACCACTGACTATCACTGTAACTCCAAGTTGCAGTTTCTTACTTAAAAGATAAAAATAACAAAACATTTATTGAGTGCCTGACAGAGTTACAGGAAATACATCAAGGAGCAAAAAAGACAAGCACCCTGATCCTGCATATGTGCAGTGAAGTGGGTACTTATTTGCAGAACATAAATAATAACCATAATAAGTAAGTAAATCTTTAATATATTAGATAATAAGTGAGTGATTGCCAGTGAACAGACTGGAAGATGGGATGAATTAAAGATTAAATGATGTCACATCTGCCAAAATGTTTGTACAGAAAAGATGCCCTCTGATGAGATTAGATCACAAAGCAACAAGGGAATCCCCCAGCAAGCTCAGCCATGATTCTGACCTCACTCAGTATTTTCCTCTTCCCCTGCACGTGTGCCCTTCCATGGAAGCCTGCCTTTGTAAATTAAGCTGCTCATTCTATAGCTCAGCTCCAGACTCCTCACTGAGAATCCTTCTGAGCAAGTCAGCTATCAGCAGTTAACATTCCTCCTAAACACAGGTAGCAGTTGCAGAGTTCAAGTTAGACCCCTCTAATGTTCTAGACTTCCTTAGCTTCCTTTTCCCATCCGTTTTCATGCCCCACTTCAAGCCAAAAGTTGATTAAAATAGTTGTTCTCCAAAGTCTCCCTTTGTCCCCACCCCACCCCCACCCTCCCGGTGAGCAGAACAGTGAGCAGAACAGTATATGAGGAATTTTGCTTGTTGTACTTGCTAAGGTGAGGGAGTAGGGAGTACTTTGAGCATTTGGTTGGCACATGTTAGGGATGCTGAATGGCCAGCAATTCATGAACCAGTTCAAGTTAAAAAAAAAAAAAAAAAAAAGTTGCATTCAAAAATGCCAATAATCCCACTAAAAAAATACTGGGTTACAAAAATAGAATTTTTCCCATGAAATTTAGCTATTTTAAAAATTGGATTATTATGTTCTCAAAGCATACCTATCTCAATTTCTAAGCTGTCTCTATATCTTTAAAATACATCAGAAAATATAATCTGACATTATGTATGTTTTCATTTAAGCTACATTTTAAAAATAGTCAATTGCTCTAACCAAGAATTAATACTCCAAATATAGTATTTAATCACAATGACTGTCATGAACACTAGGTTTTGTTAATTTAAATAATAAATGTTAGAACTATATCATTTATAAAATTGGGTGCTTAATAATTGGCATAATGATGGGGTTTTGTCAGTGAAATTGGTGATTCAAGATGCAAAGATTGGCTGTAAGTGGTAGATCATTCTTACCCTTCTGGTATAAAACAGGAATTTCAATAATAATGTCCCAGATTAATTGCTAAGTGGTTCTGAATGGACAACAAGGTTAAATTTATTATGGTAAGCTATCATTCCATTCTTGGAATGTACTTGAAAGAAATGAATATTTAGTTTATTAAAAAGTATGTAAAGAATATTACTAACATCACTATTTATGGTAGTCCCCATTCAAATCTATTCAAATGTCTATCTGCAGTGTAATAAATTTGTGATATTTAGTACTTGCACATGCTGGAATATTATACAATAATGAGAATGAGGAAATCATGGCCACACATGGAGCATGAATGAATTTTAACAACATAAAGTTGATAAAAATGTCAGGAATAACAGAGAATCTACTGCATTTTAAACATTTTCAAAAATGTGTAATACTAAAAATTAATCATAGGACTATGAAATGGACTATTATTCAGCTATTAAAGCACCTAAAGACATTAAAATGCTTATAATTGAATAAAACAGTAATGTATAAAATTGTATATATATAATAAATGAATACCACTCTCAGATAATATGCATGTATAAGTTGCTTATCTCTGTATAAGGAGTTCAGAGGTGTTATCCGTCAGGCTCTTAATGAGAAACATACAATACACTGACACTAGAAAATCAAAGGAAAGTTTATTTTAAAACGGAAAGAGAGGACACAACGGAACCACAGGGAGCACCCAGTTATCCTGAGCAAGACAGCTGGGCTACACCTACAGCTAAAGAGGTAAGAGGAAAACCAGTTACCAGGACCCAGGAGAGAGTGGCCTGTAGGGGCCTCTTCCAGAGAAGTAGGGACTGTGGGATGAGAGACACAGTCTGGCCATCATTCTCCTGCTACAGCTCACCATTAGCCAAACCCAATGAGAAGCCTGGAGCATCATCACTGATATGATCCATACACATCAGCCCACGGGACAGATCAGGTGCACAGGATGGGGAGGGGCGGGGTATGGCTGTGAGGGTGTTCAAGGGTAGTTTCCCAACACAGGAAAACAGCACATGTCACCACATCAGACTGAATCCAGGATTACCTAAAGATAGGAGACACTGAAGAGAAGATCATTTTTTTTCTTTTGATACTTTGTTTTGTCTTTCTGTTACAATAATATGTGTAAATTATTAATTCTAGGAAATAAATGTGTCTATGTGTGTGAAGATGTGTGCATGTGTGTATCTGCCTATGAGACTTTGTTTTTTAAGTAGGTAAAAGAGGCCCTGGATTCTTTTATTTACAATTCATTTTTTCTGCACTGCTTCATTTCACTAATAATAAAATAAGAATATTTCCCTATTCTAAGCTACATTTTTTTAAGAGAAGCTGTGGCAGTCAAAAGCTAAAGAATTTTTTCTATTTTTAATTTATTACAAGTTTTTCTGTTTTCTAAAAGTGACTTGCTATTACTAACATCAGCCCCATTTATTTTGTATTGTTACCTGTGGGTCCCAAGGTATCTCTGTAACTTGATTTGGTGGCTTGGAGTCATGGGAAACACATTTAATTTTACATAGGTAACAATTTTAAAAAAGTGATTTTGTAGTCATATCTTTCGTGCGTACATAGCAAGCAGCCTTGGCTATTAAAATGTAAATAGGACCAACTCTATTGCAAATGCTATGAAGTCTGACCAAACCCAAGACTTTCAGAGTTGCAGAAAACATGTCACTCACAGTGAAGAAGCCCGAAGAACCAGGAATGTCTTATTGTCATTAATATTTCTCCATTGTTTCAATGGATTTCTCAGTTACATGTCTATCAAACAAACCCCCTTCAAACAATGTCACTTGAAAAATTCTCAGTAAACCTTGACAGAAACAGTCTTTAAACCATGAGGCTTTTTCTAGGGCAAAAGGATGAGTCACCAGCTCTTACTCAGGTTCCATATCAAACCACTGTTCGGGTTCAGTGAACACTTTATTTTCCCACTTGAACTTGAACTCTCCTGCAAGATCACTCCTGCCCATCTTGCGAAGGTGACGAGCCAGGAGGCGAACTTTGTCAGTGGAAGTTGGGAGAGATTTTTTCCAGAAACAAAGAAGTTCATGGATCTGCTCTGTGAGGTCATCAGGGTGCTTGAGTTTGATGAGCTGAATGGTGCTGCGGCGCAGAGGGAGGGACGAGGTAAGGACCTCCGCATTTTCTTCTGAGAGTTCCTCTGCCAGCCAGTGGAACAAGTTATCCCAAAGGGCTTCTGGAGGCACACACAGAACACCCAGTGTTAGGAAGCTTGCTTGAGGGATGTGCTAATCCAACCCTTCACACCTGCTCACAGGAATATACTAGCCCTCTGGTTTGGCTTCTGAGCAGCAGAGAAGTGTGGGACCACCCAGATGGACAGTTGAGAGCTTTTGAATTCCTGCCATTGCTGAGGTCATCATCTGAGCCTGCTAGCTATGGTAAAGGGCGAGAAATGCTCCTCAAATTTTAATGTACCTGAGAACCAGAAGGACTTGTTAAAATGTTTCTTTGGTTTCCAGCCCACAGTTAATTGAATAGGACTAGCGTGGGGCAAAACATGGCATCTTCAACAGGCTTCTAAGAATGCTGACAACGGAGGTCCTTTGCCATTCCTAGCCTTGTAGCACTGCGTCAAAGGATGTTTCATAGGTTCAAAAAGATATTCATCTTTATTAGTATTAAAGTGATGAATAAATTATGCTAGAAGCTAGCTGGTCCTCACATATTCATGCAAATACACACACACACACACACACACGTGTATGTGTGAGTGTGTGTGTGTGTGTGTGTGTGTGTGTGTGTGTTTATACACAGCTCACCAATTTCACTACCCAAAGAGCATTCTGGGCAAAGTTCATTACATCAACATTTCCTCTGGACCTCTGGACTATTTTGACTCGAACACATCTCCTCTGAATATATCCTATATTCTCTGTGTATTTTTCCCCTTAACCTGAGACTCCTGCCTGCTTCCTAATCCATGATTCCATCTGGTATTTCTATGGTTTTCATTGCATAATTCAAAGCTGTCACTCTAAGTAAATCCCCTGTATCCCTCTATGTTTCCTCTTCCATATACAAGCCATAAACTATCTTTTCCCTTCCATATATCAGACCTAGCCTGCATACTTTCTTCTACTCTCAGTCTCATTCCCTGGCCTTGTATGAGCAAAGAATTCCATGTCTTCCCCCTATTACTTAATTACCCTTTCCACCTACCTCCTCATATAAATTATGCTCTGATTTTACACTATAAACCTGCTTATCTGTGAATATTACTTAAAGGAAGGAGCTAAATATCCTTGTTTGTTTTCAAATAATTGTTCTTCTACCATCAGGCAATGCATTCACTTAGATGTCTATGCTACCTAGGGGGGCCTTCCTCCCCCACCCACATTATCTATGGACAGCCATCAGCCATGACATTGATAATCATTCATGCTACTGACTGCATGGTTCCTTAATCTTATTAACTCCAGTGACCTGTCCTGTGACTTCAAATTAGAAACTGACTTTCAGAGTTATTCTTCACATTTCATCATCTGCCAGAATCATGCCTCCTTCATGGCCTCAGCTTCTCGATATTATTGCTGACTGCTACCCGCTAAACTCCCACAGCTTCTATTCCTCTGCTTCTGCATAATTTTCTCTGTCCCCATCACTAATAGAGCAATCCCTCCTGTCATTCAATCACTCCTGCAGGGTCTTACATACCTCTGCCAGTGCTGCTCCTAAAGATCAGTTATATACATCAAATATGGTCATGCATCCAACTTAAAACAGGTTATCCACCTTAGCCTTATTGTCATTATTGTCAGTTTGTCAACTCTAATCATGCAGGTTGGGGGATACTGAGTGTCCCCAAATGGCCTCTGTTTTGAAGGTTGATCAGTAGTAGCTGAACTACTCCAGCTACCCAATTATGAAAATATGTTATTGTGCCTACTAAACACTATGCTATTTTATTCTATTGAGCCCTTAGCATTCACAAATCCATTTAAAATTTTTCTAATCACAATTTCAAAATTTCCATAGCAAAAACCAAAATCTTTTCTCCTGTCTCACTCTCCTGTTTCACCCAGCCCAAATCTGTTTTTCCCACTTTACACAAAGCCATTCTGCTTGAGTTCTTATAACCTTGTTTTCATTCCCAAAGTACTTTATTACGAAATCTCCCTCCCTCTGTGTTTGCTGGATTCCATCCCACCCTGCATTTTTCATCCAATATTTTCCCTTTACATCTGTCTCTCAATCTCCTCCTCACTGTGGGTCCTTCCTTGGTTCTTATAAACATGTTCAGGTCTTCTAGTTCCCTTATGCTATAATATCAAGCCACTGTGCTACCTCTGCCCTTTTATTTTTTTAATCATAAAAATCTTTTAGTGTCTAATGTGCCATGAGGTCTCAAGTTCCTCACTATATACTGAGCACTTATATGCTTGCTTTAGGGATTCTATGACCTTTATAAAAACTGCTATTTCGGCCTTTATTCAAACCTTCCTAGAAAATTCTTAATTACTACTTGCAGCAAGTGAATCTTGGCCTGCATCTTCTTAGACTTCCACAAAACATTTAACTTCTTTCCTTGGATTTCATGTTCTCCCCAAGATCTACTGTTCCTTCTCTCGCCCTTGTCTGACTCATCCTCCTGGTGCTGCTAAATTACTGCTTCCTACCTCAGGCCTCTTCTATTTCTGCTCTCTTTACCAATGAATTCATCAATTCTTAGTTACTTGACCATAGCTTCTAGGTGAAATATCCCAGATCTGTTATCTCTTCATCTTTAACTTTGTTTCCTAAATCCTAGAATAGTCTTTGCAATATTCATTTTTCTCAAAATCTCTACCAGTGAATTGGAAATTGGTATCCTGGTACCTTCTTACTTGCTTCCTGGCTATCATGAAGTGAACAGGCATCTTCCACCATGTGCCATGATGTACTATATCACCACAAACCAAAAGCAATGGGTCAAGTCATCATGGACTACAACCTCTATAATTGTGAGTCAAAATGAACCTTTCCTCGTTTTAAGTTGATTAACTCAGGCATATTGTCACAGAGATGAGAACTGATGACCACAATGCCCTATCTGTCTTTGCTGGATGGAGTACAACATTCTAATTTATATCCTTGCTATCAGTTTTGACTCACTTTGTCCTCTGCACACAACTTCTGCACAACCATTCTGCATCCAATCTGATCTTGTTAGTCCCCTATTAATAAATCTTTGAAAGATTTATTATCCTATTGTCTAAACTTCTAAACTTAGCATTTAAACTTTTAATAGTTTTATCGTACTGAAAATATGTAGCCTTATCTACCACCAACCTTCCTATAGAAGCTTTGATGACATGATAGCAACTCAGGACTTCATAGCACACATAAGAAGAATCATTGTATTCTTATGCTACCCAGTGATTATTGACAGGAGCAGTAATTATGCTTTTATTTGAATATCAATTTCTTTAAAAGTGAACAATGATGAACTTGCCAAGCTTTCATCTATTGAGGTTGTTATTATTGTTTTTTTCTATATCATTTTCCTTCTCTTTTAAAACAGCTGTATTGTTCCTGAGATAATATATTGTAATACTAAAATTAATTCCTGTTCTATTCTAATGTAGTTCAGTAAAGTCTATGCATTTTCTGGTACCCCTAAGTGTAACCTCTAATTGGAATTCTGTGCTATCCATGGTGAGCCTGATAAAGTAGTGAAAACCCATCCACTGATGTCTTTTGAAGACAAGTGATTGCATTAATAGCTATTAACATCACAGAAAGAATTGCTTTAAAGGCTAAAACAGAATAAAGGTGTCAATTCTACCCTTAAATCTGCATCAGCATAATACACCAACATGCTTTCCTGCACATAACCCTGAATATTATGCATAACCACAGCCAAATATAAAATATGTTCTTTGAGGATTCATACTAATATATACTTCTCTTTAAATCTATTTACCATAAATGTAGGTTTGAATTGACCACACTTAAACATTTACAATTTAATGGTCAAAATTTCAGAATGAATTGTTGCTGTCTATTTACCAAATTAAGAAATTATTTGTTACTTATCTAATTTATATTTCTAAATAAAAATGATTTGTGGCTAAGCGGTAAAGTGCTCGCCTTGCACATGTGAGGCCCTGGGTTCGATCTTCAGCACCACATAAAAATAAATAAATAAAGGTATAAAAAATAAAATACATGCACATTATTTTGTATAATTATAAAAAAAGATTTATATTTCTTATAGATTTCAGTACAAATTTCATGACATGCATATTTGAGAATGATATTTTGGTTTATATGTACATGACTTTGCAAGAAAATTCCATTTATTAAACATGATAAAACTTAATGATTAAATGAAAAGTCACTTTCTCCAGTCTATTTTGTAGAAGGATTCATGCATACATAAAATATGAGAGGAGAAAAAGTACTATGAGTACGGAGCAAATGTTCCTTACCTAGAGGATCTTTAGAAATTCTCTTGGTACTCTGTGGACGGTTGATTAATTTTTCATGCTATTGGGAGGGACAGAGAATAAGCAGAAGAAATTATTTATTGGTAAATAAATAAAACCCCATATGAACCTCACCCCTACTTAGAAGAAGCACTGAATTGCATATCTTGCAAAATTAGATCTTGTATTTGTGCATGCATGTTCAGCAATTGTTTTCCTAAGATAAGGCAAAGTAAAGCAACCCAATTTAAATTTAAGAATACACATTTGAATATTATTAGAGAGCTCACATGAACTCGGAACAAACATTTCCCAACTAAAGCTCAAAACTATTAAAGCCAACTAACATAGAGCAAACTATCTCTATGCCACAAACATGGTTTTGGTAAAATCTCTAGTAGGTTGGTCATTGTTCTTCAACACTCAGCACGGGTACCTGATAGTTAATTGAACAATAGTTTGTGAGAATGAACAGGTGAATGTTCAATGAACAAGTTGATAAAATAATCAAGGCACTGAGCATATATTATTCTCAACCAAATATTTTATCAAGAAATAATTGCATATATAATCATTTCTTTTCTACACTATCTGCAGAACAATTTTTTCTCATTTAATGAGGGATGGTGGAAACAGCACAAGAGATAAGTTAAAAACATCTGAGTTTGGATACCAGTTTAAGTGATTGAGAGCAGTGTTACTGTGGAACACTTATCTCTAAATCTCTCTTAAATGTTCGTTATAAACCACATCACAAAAAACTTGCACACAAATGTTCATAGCAACTCTATTTGTAATAGCCAAATCTAGAAACTGTAAAAATTGTTTTTGATGATATATTCAAAATCCTGGATATTATTCAATTAATAAAAGGACAAATCGCAGCTACATGCAATAGCTTCTAACTTCGTTTTCCAAGGGCCACCAGGCATTATGCCAAGTACAAAATTCAAGTCTCAAAACTTTGCATATTCTGATTTCACTTACATTATCTTCTTGAAATTATGTAATTTTAAAGATGTAGAACAGATCATTAGAGATTGTTGGTACTTACTGATCTGGGAACATGACTAGAAAGAGGTGGCAAAAAAGAGATCATTGTGGTGATGGACCAGTCCTGTGTTTTGAATGTGGTGGTGGGCACATGAATCTACCTACCCATTTGGAAAAATTGCACAGAATTATATACACACATCATATCACAGTGTATCAACGTCAACCTCCTGGCTTTGATACTATATTATTGTTATGTTAAGATGAAACTACTGAGGAAACTGGGCAAAAAATACTCTTTTATAACTTCCTGTAAACCTATAATTATTTCTGTTTTTTTTTTTTTTTTTTTCAGTGCTGGGGATCAGACCCAAGGACTCATGCATGCTGAGCATGGATTTTACCACTGAGCTACATGGCCAGCCCCAGAATATTTTTTAAAAGCCTACTTCAAAGTATGAGATAAGGAGGACATAACTACTATATGTTAGTGTACATCACATTGCTTCCTGCTGAGCACTCAGTACAAGTAAGTTGAATCTGAATTTCATTTTTTGTAGACATTACATAATCATGGAACCATATAAAACTTCCTTTAAGAAGATTTAATAGGTTGGAATTAGGAAACAGTAGAAGTTAAAGTATACTACATTGCAGCATTGCAACGTAATTACATTTTTGAGGCATCAACGATGTGCCTCAGAATTGTGAGATGACTATCAATTTAAACAGGACAGCAGACTCTTCATTCCTGTCAGAAGACATATCACCTGGACTGAGCCTGGGGCAAGAGGTACATGCCAGGTTTTAATCTTTTCTTTATGTTAATTGTTTCTCCTGTCAGTCCATCTTTGTTCACGGATGCATCTTAATGCACTGAGAGTGGTTCTAGTATTTACTAGATGGATTATTTTTCTCATCTATGAAAATTCAGGTAAGTACTTCATCTGACATACAACCACAGAGGGAATAAATTGTGGTAGCACAGGTGCTTTTGAATGCCCAGACATAGGGGATTTTCAATGCTGCCTTCCCTTCTTTTTACTACCCGTCTACTCTCTCCCCTTCCAGTTCTCTGTTTGCATGATTTTCTCTGTGCACAATTTTTGTCTGTGCACTAATCTTGCTTTGCACATTGTTTCTTGAAACTCACTTTTGTCCAGGGTCAGCACCAAGCCAAACAGAAGGCTTCTGCTTGTCCTTCCACCGTCTTCCCTCGCCCACATGCCCAGGGTCCTCACGTGGCTTTCTGGAAGCCTTCCTCCGCAGGAAGTCTGAAGTTTTCCTAGTCGCTCTCCCCGCCCCCTTCTTCTAATTAGAAGGCACCCTTCTGTTACCTCTACTCAACTTTGCTAATTCTTCTCAAGTAACATGTTTTTCATGTTAATATTGTAACATTTTAACTTGCAGAATACAATTTCTTCAATGCCACTGTCAACATGTTAGTGCACAAAGAGGTGGCTCATTGGGCATATCAAAATGTGGCTCTCAAGCTCTCTGTAAGCTGTGTCCTTGATACACATCGTCCTTATAAAGAGGGAAACTGGGGCTTCTGTCGCACTTTTTCCCTCACTATAAAGCTCTCAAGAAATCTATAAATAATAAAACTATAAGTAATCCAGATGTTTATAGATGTGTTGTATTTACACTGCTAAGAGCAACACAGGCCTCATCTACTTGGAAGTGATTAAAACACTGAAACCAAAGAACCACTCACACTGGAAGTGGCTGTTATGGGTGCCAGGAGCTTTCCCACTGCTGCTGTGAGGATTCCTTTAGTTACTCACTATTCTTTACATGCCACCCCAATATAATCCTCCTATTCTTAAAACTACGTAGATAATTTTATAGTTGGACTCAACTAGAGTGACAATTTTATCTGTTGTGTGCAATCCCACAAACTGACTTGGGCATATTCAGCATTTTTCTAGGTAAGGTCCCAGCGGCCTGTTGAAAAGAGTCTGTCAAGTCCTAAATCATACGCCTGGATATTTCTGAGACTCAGCTTAATTTCATGATCCAGCTTGCACTTCAGCATCCATACAATAACCTTCCAGACTGGGCCTTTCTCTAAATGCTTATCAGACATGTATGATACTCTCAAAATTGATCCTGCTTCAGAGATATTAAAAAATTCCTTTCTTGTTAGTTATCTCACTTGCCTTCCATTTACACAGAGTGTGCAAGAGTGCACTTCCTGTTTTCCTCTATGATGGCGGAGAATATTTCAGCTCAAAAGTGCTAGTTCTCCTGAGAGACGCCAACAGAGTGCAGAAGCAGGCATGAGCAGCAAAGCTAATCTTTCCCCAGTGCCACTCTGCTTGACCATGTGAGGGCTCACTTGGTCAGTTCCTGGCTTCTGATTCAACCCATGCCTCAGTTTCCTGAATTTTAAAACCATTACATCACATTACATAGTCTCTAGGTTTGTTGTAAGCATTAAATGAAATAAAATATGTAGTGCATGATCTTTTTTCTCCATTGTTGTGCACTTGTTGTTCAGTGTCTGTGGTAATGATGGTGTGAAAAAAAAGTACTGTATAAAAGTGCAGGATGTACAGTTCTGTACAGAACATGATACTTGGCAATGGTATGTAAGTAACTACATTAATGTAAGTGACTACATGACTGGTTTGTGTATTTACCATATAATATAGTACTTTTTAAAATTTATTTGATTCATAGTATTTGTATGTATTTATAGGGTACAGTATGATTTGACACATGTACATAATGTGTAATGATCAAATCAGAGTAATTAGCATTTCCATCTCCTTTAACACTCATCATTTCTATGTGTTGGGAACCTTCTACTCTTCTCTTCCAGTTATTGTGAAACATAATAAATTGCTGCAGACTATAGTTTTATGGAACACTAGAACTAAATCCTTCTATCTAATTAATTTGGCATCACACTGTACCCTATAAATACACACAAATATTATGAAGCAATTAAAACTTAAAAAGTACTATATTAATAGGATGGGGGACAAAAGAAATTGTGATACATTTTTAAGGAAACAACTTAGTTCAGCTATTGGCACATGTGTACTTAATAAAAGTCATCTAATTGTTAACCACACAGGTTTTGCTAGAACTACAGTGTCATTTTTGCAGACAGAGAGGCTTTTTCCAACCCTAATTTCTAAGATGTTGGTCCAAAGATCCATCTGTAACTAAAGGTACTCTTGTAAGTATATACTTCAGTAAATGAATGGGTAAAGAAAATGTGGTGTATATATACACAATGGAATATTACTCAGCATTAAAAGAGAATAAAATCATGACATTTGCAGGCAAATGAGTGGAGTTGGAGAATATAATGCTAAATGAAGTAAGCCAGTCTCAAAAAACCAAATGCCAAATGTCTTCTCTGATATCAAGATGCTGATTCATAATGGGGATTGAGGAGGGGAGCATGGGAGGAATAGATGAACTTTAGATAGGGAAAAGGGGGTGGAAGGGAAGGGGGTATGGGAGTAAGAGGACAGTGGAATGAGACAGCCATCATTACATGTATGAAAACACGAATAGTGTGACTCTACATTGTGTTCAACCAAAGACATGAAAACTTGTGCTCTATTTGTGTTATAAAAATTGAATTGCATTCTGCTGTCATATGTAACTAATTAGAATAAATGAAATTTAAAAAACTTTATGTAGAGCAAGGCAGGACCAAAATGTCCCCATGACATCATAGCACTGGAGACAGCTCTGTCCCTTGATCTCGGAACAGTCCTGGATTCAGCCACCACTGACCATTTAGTCCCTGAAAATGCTTTGGCCTGGAAAAATCTCAGTGTTTCAGTTGGGGCTAGGACTCACCCTCACTGTAATGTGCTTTCAGGAGCTTAGGGTGGTGCTGGCACGACCCAAGCTAACATCACCGCAGTTCCTGAGGTCTCTATCACAGAAACAGTTTTTGTGTCCAGTGATATGGTAAGGACTTTCTGATAATTTGAACATCATTTAGCACAGATGCCCCATGGTATTACAACAAAACAACAGCCTTATACAACTAGCAACAACAAAAACTGTCAGGCTGCTGTTGTTACTTTTATCATTTAC